CCCAATTCTAACTTTGTTTTCTTTTTTTTTTAAAGATTCATTAATTTATTTATTTTAAGTTTTCAAAATTCACTTCCACAAAATTTTGAGTTCCAAATTTTCTCTCCATCTCATCCCTCCCCCAACCCCAAGACAGCATGCATTCTGAATAGCCTTTCCCCTAATCTGCCCTCCCTTCTATCTCCCCCTGCCCCCCGTCTCTTATCCCCTTTCTCTGCTATTTTCCTGTAGGGCAGGATAGGTTTCTATACCCCATTGCCTGTGTATCTTATTTCCCAGTTGCATGTGAAAACAATTTTTTAACATTTGTTTTAACATTTGGAACTTTGGGTTCCAAATTTTCTCCCTTCCTCCCTCCCCAACCACTCTTATTGAGAAGGCAAGCAACTACATACAGGTTATACTTGTGTAGTCTTGCAAAACACTTCCATAGTTGTCATGCTGTGGAACACTAACTATATTTCCCTTTATCCTATCCCACCCTCCATTTATTCTATTCTTTCTTTTGACCCAGTCCCTCCTCAGGAGTGTTTGCTTCTGATTACCCCCTCCCCAAGTCTGCCTTCTCCTCTATCATCCCCACCCTTATCCCCTTCCCAGCTATTTTCCTGTAGGGTAAGATAGCTTTCCATACCCAATTGAGTGTGTATGTTATTACCTCCTTAAGGCAAATCCAATGAGAATAAGATTCACTCATTCCCTCTCACCTTCTCCCACTTTGCCTCCACTATAAAAAGCCTTTTCTTTTCTGTTTTATGTGAGATAATTTACCCCATTCTACCTCTCCCTTTCTCCTTCTCCCAGGATACTCCTCTCTCACCCCTTAATTTTATTCTTCAGATATTACCCACTCATCTTCAACTCACCCTGTGCCCTCTATCTATCAATCTATCTATGCATATAATTTTTTCCCTCCAACTACCCTAATACTGACAAAGGTCTCATGAATTACAAATATCATCTTTCCATGTAGGAATGTAAACAGTTCAACCTTAATAAGTCCCTTAATGATTTCTCTTTCTTGGTTACCTCTTCATGCTTCTCTTGAGTCTTGTATTTGAAAGTTGAATTTTCTATTAAGCTCTGGTCTTTTCATCAAAAATGCTTGAAAGTCATTGATTTAACTGAATGTCCATTTTTTCCCTTAAGGATTATATTTTGCTGGGTAGGCAATTCTTGGCTGTAATCCTATCTCCTTTGTCCTCCAGAATATCATATTCCAAGCCCTCCAGTCCTTTAATGTAGAAGCTGCTAAATCCTGTGTTATCCTGATTGTGTTTCCACAATACTTTAATTGTTTCTTTCTGGCTGCTTGCAATATTTTCTCCTTGACCTGGGAACTCTGGAATTTGGCTACAATATTCCTAGGAGTTTTCCTTTGGGGATCTCTTTCAGGAGGTGATCAGTGGATTCTTTTGTTTTCTATTTTACCCTCTGGTTCTAGAATATCAGGGTAGTTTTCCTTGATAAATTCTTGAAAGATGATGTCTAGGCTCTTTTTTTGATCATGGCTTTCAGATAGTCCACTAATTTTTAAATTCTCTCTCCTGGATCTATTTTCCAGGTCAGCTATTTTTCCAGTGAGATATTTCATATTCTCTTCTATTTTTTAATTCTTTGGGTTTAGTTTTACAATGTCTTGATTTCTCATAAAGTCACTAGCTTCCAATTGCTCTATTCTAGTTTTTAAGGAAGTATTTTCTTCAGTGAGTTTTTGGACTTCCTTTTCCATTTGGCCAATTCTGCTTTTTAAGGCATTCTTCTCCTCATTGGCTTTTTGGACCTCTTTTGCCATTTGGGTTATGTTATTTTTTAAGATCTTATTTTCTTCAGTATTTTTGGGGTCTCCTTTAGCAAGCTGTTGACTTGTTTTTCATGATTTTCTTGCATCACTCTCATTTCTCTTCCCAGTTTTTCCTCTACTTTTCTTACTTGCTTCTCAAAATCCCTTTTGAGCTCTTCCAAGGCCTGGGACTGATTCATATTTTTCTTGGAGGCTTTAGATGTAGGAGCTTTGACTTTGTTTTCTTCTTCTGGTTGTATGTTTTGATCTTCTTTGTCATCAAAGTAAGACAATATAGTCTGACTCTTTTTGCGCTGCTTACTCATGATCTTGGCCAATTACTTGAGTTTTAAACTCTTTGTTAAGGTAAGAGTCTGCTTCCAATGTAGAGAATGTACTGTCCCAAGCTTTTGGGGTTTTGTGCATCTGTTTTCAGAGATACTTTTAGGGACCTGTAAGTTTTCAGTTCTTCTAAGGTGGTATGATCAAGGATGAGGTATTTACTTCTTTCCTAGCCTGTGTTCTGGTCTATGAGTGACCAGAAGCACTCTTTTCTGCCTTGGAACTGTGAGGAGAATTTCCTCTCCACTGCCACCACAAGCTCCACCACACCAGCACTCCTCCTTTCCCCAGGACCGCCACTCAGAACTGTGACCCAGATCCAAGCACAGGCAAAGCAAGAGAATCCTGCCTCAGCACCAGCAAAGAGATCCCTGCAATCCCCCTCTGATCAGGCACTCAATTCCCCCTCAGTCTGTGGACTGGAAGCTCAGGAAGCAGCCGCCGCCCCAGGGCTGTGCCAGGACTGGGCCTGGGACCAAGCTTCTATCTCACCACAGTCACAGACTTTTTCTACTGACCTTCTAAGTTGTCTTTGGCGTTTGTGGGTTGAGAAGTCTGGAAACTGACACAGCCACCTATGATTCAGTCCTCTGAGGCCTGCTCCAGGTTTGCTAAGGCCTGTTTTGTCTTCACACCCACACTGATCTGTGTTTCTCTCTCAGCCCAGTGCAAGACCTTTCTAATCAACCATTCCAGTCTTGGGCTGGAAATTTTTTTCACTCTTCACACTGTCTTTTTGTGGCTTCTGCTGCTCTAGAATTTATTTAGAGTCATTTTTACAGGTATTTGGAGGGGTTTGGGGGAGAGCTCAAGCAAGTCACTGTTTTTACTCCACCATCTTGGCTCCGCCCCCCCCATTCTAACTTTTAAGGTGTTGTTTTCCTCAATTAGTTTTTGTACTTTCTTTTCCATTTGGCCAGTTCTGTTTTTAAGCAGTTTTCCAAGCTGTTGACTTTTTTTTCCATAATTCTCTTACCTCACTCTCATTTCTTTTCCCAATTTTTCTTTGATTTCTCTTACATGATTTTAAGCTCCTTTTTGAGCTCTTTCATGAGTTCTTTCTGGGCCTGAGACCACTTCCCATTTTTCTTTGGAGTTTTGCCCAGAAGTGTTTTGACATCATTGTCCTCTTCTGAGTTTATGTCTTGGTCAGCACAATAACTTTCTATAATCAAATTCTTTTTTTTTTGTTCCTGTTTTTTGCTCACCTTTTGTTTGGCCTTTTTCTTTTCTTTTAAATTTGATCTCTGCTCCCACGGTTGAAGGCTCTCTGTCTCAGGCTTCTTGTGCCAGTGGCTGCAGGCCCTGGCTGTTTCCAAGGCACTGTGCTGATGTTGCCTTGAGGTTCACAGGGGACCCTCATGCCTGGTACTGTGTTGAGGAGGTGGGGTAGGGGATGGCTGGCACTGCTGGAGACTTTAGGGGTCTGGCAGCTTACCTGGTGATGAGCTGGGGTCCTAGTGGTGGTGTCTAGTGCCAGGTAGGATTTTTCTGCATTTCCCTAGGGCTACACTGAAGCATGTGGAGGCCCAGCCCCCTCACAGTTCTCAGGTAACCTGCAGGAGTTGGGGAGTCTCTTATGTCTGCCATCAGCCTGAGCCTCCAGCAGCTCTGTTACCCATAGTTTAGGGAGTCCATGACCAGCAGCCCCATTCCATTTAACCACTTAACATCATATATGTTTTTATAAGGAGATATTTATTTCAAAGATACAGCTAAAAGAAAGTACAAACATTTCCCCCAACACTTCATTGGCATAATACCTCTTTTACCAACTCTCTGGAAGTTAGAGGGAGAGGCAAAGGAAGGGAGGAAGAGATTAGGAAAGCTTAGCTCAGTTCCTACACTGAATAAGTCTGACCCAATTCACATCCCAAGCCAACAAGGCAGTCCACTTCTGCTGCATTGATTTCAACACGTAGCCTGGATTCTTGGACTCCCAGGTCCCCTTAGCTTGTCAAGTCAAGTCAGCTACACTTTCTGATCTGAACTGAAATGAACAAACCAAAAAGAACCGATCAATTTCTTGAGACCACATAGCCTCAGTGAGGGGAAGGAAGTGACCCTCAAGCCCTCTTTTCCCTCAGACATGAATCCAACCTAAGTTGCAGTCATTTCTGAGCCACACTGTTTTAAACACACTAACAGGGGCGGCGAGGTGGTGCAGTGGATAGAGCACCGGCCCTGAAGTCAGGAGGACCTGAGTTCAAATCCGGCCTTAGACCATACACTTGACACTTATTAGCTTGTGTGACCCTGGGCAAGTCACTTAACCTCAATTGCCTAAAAATAATAATAATAAAAAATAAACAAACACGCTAACAGTTCCAACTGCCCAGCCAATGGAAGACGGCTGCTCCAAACCACTTGGTAAGCCAACACAAACTGTTCATTATTTTGCCAGTCTTCCAGCTTCCTGAAAGCAGTCCTCTATTGTCCTCCACAAGATTGATGCCATCTTAGGGGCTCTAGGTATGCGCCAAACCTCCATTACAACTCAAAGATACAGTAACAATATTTATACTTTTTGCAAGAGAGACTGTAACTGTGTTCCATATTCATAAGAATAATAATAATAACTAGCATTAATATCATACTTTAAGGTTGGCAAAGTGCTTTTATTCATTTTAGCTTCACAACAACTCTAGGAGGTAGGTGCTATTATTAATTGCATTTTACAGATGAGGAAACTGAGGCAGGCAGAGGTTAAGTGACTTGCCCAGGGTCACACAGACAGTAAGTGTCTGATTTGCACGCAGGAAGATGTGTCTTCCTGACTCCAAACCTGGCACTCTACCCACTGCACCAGCTAGTTCATTATCTAACTCTAAAATTTTATACATGTTTAACTCTGCATATTTCTTTATTTCTGCAGTTAAGTAGGACACAGCAGAGACAGACTGGGTCACTTGATCAGAAAAGGACTGATCAGTCAGGCTATGTTCAAAAGTCTAACCGAATGCAATCACAGCAAAATTCACCTCCTCGACAGAGGATAGAAGCAGCAAGATCTCCTTCAAGTGCAAGCACTTCAAAAAGCAAACCTGCAAGGCAAAGCAAACGTGTTGCACGAAAACCCCAAACCAAAACAGATGCAAAAGGGGGGTCTGTTCTACAAAAATCTCCCAGAAAAACAGCAGCACAAGGGAGAGCTCTTCAACAAAATCCTCAGACCAAAGCAGCCCCCAGAAAGACACCCGTTTCTCGAAAGCTTCGACCCAAAGCAGCCCCCAGAAAGAAGGCCGTTTCACCAAATCCTCAGACCACAACATCCTCTGGAAGGAGGGCTGTTTCACGAAACCCTCAGCCTAAAACAGCAGCCAGAAAAAAGGTAGTTTCATCAGATCCTCAGACCACAACAGTCTCTAGAGGGAAGACAGTTTCACGAAACTCTCGGAGCAAAATAGTCACCAGAAAGAAGCCCGTTTCTCGAAAGCCTCGACCCAAAACAGCCATCAGAAAGAAGCGCCTTTCACCAAATTCTCAGATCACAACAGTCACCAAAAAGAAGTCAGTTTCACCAAATCCTCAGACCACAACAGTCACCAAAAAGAAGCCAGTT